TTTTATTTATTTTATTTTATTTTGTCGATATACAATGTGGTTGATTATTGTGGCCCATTACAGAAACCAGAAACTTTCTTTTCTTTCTTTTTTTTTTTTTTGGCGGGTGGCCAGTAAGGGGATTCAAACCCTATTGGCCAGCCCTAAATTTTCCTTTATTCTCCAGTGCAATTTAGTTGTCTATGGCACCCTCCCCCCACCTGTAAGATAATACTAAAAAGCTATTAGGCATCTCTCTAAGTCCAGGTTAATTTGCTTGAGACATCAGTAACTCATATTTGAAATAACTTAAGATCTCAGAAAAGTTTAGCTTTATGACTGCCTCAGGAAGTCAAACTTAGGAAGCTCTTTACGAGTGCAACTTTATAGAAATTTTAGAAAATATAAGCATTCTCACTTTCAGAACATAATTTTTCCCATGTTTCTGTATGTGAGTATGGCGAATACTCATATGTATGTGTATGTGTGTGTATACATATGCAAATTTTCAATTTCATTCATCCTTTCAAATGGGTTTTCTCAAAGATTTTTTTTAAAAGAAATAAAAAACCACCAACTTTTACCTCAAACCACCCTTCCTAATTGAGTGTGAATTTTCTAATAATGCCTTTACTTGGAAGTAAGGCAGGAAGACAGATAAGATATGAAAGTCTATCATTTATTTTCAAAAATCTATAACTTCATAATCTTAATTTTTAGAAACAGAACACTTAACTGGCTGCAGAAAAATGTGTTAAGAGGTCAGACATGAGGATGCACTTGAGTCTGTTTGCTTGTTTGGTGGAAGTGGCAGAGTTGTGTGGGGCTATGTACTGACCCTGGGGTATAGATTTCTTCACTTTGGAATTCAAGTGGGCATGATTTCAGGAAGGTTTGTAATGTCATTTCTGCTCCCACAGGGTCTTTGTCAAGTCAGTTCATGCCAGAACAGCAAAATCTTCACAATTAATCATACCCTGTCTCTGGGAAATACATTTCAAGTAAATCTGTGTTATTTCTAGCCATCGGTGACTCATCCAAGGATCTGAATGGTCTTGGTGGCAGTGGGGTGAGTGGAGAATCATGCAAACTCTTTCATTCACTCAATTCTCCAAAAATCGAGGCGAACCTCTTATGCTCCTTTTCAGCTCTATAGGAAATACAAAAATAAACGAGACAAAGTTCTTATCTTTAAGATAATTATAACCTAGTAAGAAGGAGAAAGGCATAGATATAATAATAGTAACACAAGTCTGACTGTGATCAGGTCTA